TCTTTACTATTTTGTTTTGTTTTGATCTATAAAGTTTATGATCCGCATGTTTGATTTGGCCTAAATATTATGCCGGATGCGCTTCCCGACACCCTGTCCATTTACCCGGGCTTGGGAGTGACATTTTCATTCGTTTCCCATATTTTTGTGTTTTTTCATTACCTTGAGCTGATCTATAATCGCATGTTTGATAAAGTGTAGGGATAAGTGATCCAACTGTATATTTGGACTGGATGTCAGTTTGATCTGTTCATTCATTCTTAACAGTTCAACACAAAACACAAACTAATCAAATTCAGTAGGAAAATGTCACTCAGCCTTCCTGTGTGCACATGAACCATGCATTATCTGATCGCAAAGACAGATAATGAGACAATCACGCATGCATGCTCGCGCCTGCATCCACCTCAAACTTAACCTGAACATGCATGTCTTTGGACTGTGGGAGGGGCTGAATTGACGGGTGGATGCAGGCAGAGTAACCCTGATTAATATTGTTTCACTTTCAGTCGCATCGGGTCAGGTGTCTGTGAGGAATGAACACGGTGAAAGCAGGTAAGGGAGACACCTGTACATACAGTAAAGACTCTCACACTGAGCTGAAATCAAAGCAACGCAAATAAATTATGTCAACAACGGGAATACATCTTTAATTTTATTTTACAAAGCAAAGTTTAAATCCAGCCTAAAAAGCACCACATGATGATCGTGGATGAAAATGCATTGGTATCTGCATCTGTGATCGATTCATTAATACCATTAACCCTACATTTAAGTCCAGTTTTGTTATTTATCCAGCACCAAACCTCAGGCCCTCCACACTGTGACCCCACAGAAAAACGCTGGAGCACACTTTTCTTCTTGGACCAGAGCGCGAGCACTGAAAATGGAAAAGAGCTGACTGATGGCAGTTTTATCCAGTGTGGAGACATTTCCATTCTGCGCAGTTTGAAACGTTTAACTGCTTCTCTGTTTAGCTGCTCCTTCAGCAGAGTGTCCTAGAGCTGGCTGCCAGATACACCCCCCACTTTACCCCCTTTTATCACTCTTCATCAGAACAGCTCAGATTAAAAGCATCCTCACAGCTCTGCAGCATCCAGCAACACTCCACGCATTACATACATAAACACACCATCACCCACAATCTGATACTACAACCAGCTCCTCCTCCCTGACAACACACCCTGTCCTCTCCACTACAATGATAACAAAACCCAAAACGTTATTTTCCCTCAGGTCTCCTCCTCATCTCTCCATCCTTGGCAGTATATCAGCTTCAGGTTAAAACACCTTCTGCAGTGTGGAGTGTTTTACACAACAACTCCTCCTCCTCCTCCTTAATGTACTCTTCATCACCTCACTGTACCCCTCTCCTCCTGTATGTATACACCTCTTCCTCTAACTCCTGCTGCCATTCATGACAAACGGTCAGAGCAGACAAAGAGCGGCTTCTATAGCGCAGACCCAGCTGCTTGTCACCATGTAAACACACACACACGGTGTCACCCGTCCACTCACACTGATCCCAAACCAGCTGTTACTTTACACTCGCAGTTCTGATTTTACACGGTGCCACACACACACACACACACACACACACACACACACACACACACACACACACACATAAAGACGTGGTGCTGATGGAGGATGCGACCGACAGCCCGCTGCCCCTGAGCCCGGACAGTAGGCTGCATGGGTCGGCTGTGGATCTGCTGACAGCGCCGTTTGTACCTGCAAGAGGAACAAAATGAAAAAAACAGAAACCGCTCCGACAAACCGGGTTTCTCGGTCAAAACGGCCGAGCGCACACATGCACGCGCGCGCCCCGGAGCCGAGGAAATAAAAGCCAAACCGGGACCCCCCTCTGCTGTTCCGTTACCTTCATAATTCCTGCCGAGTCCCCCTCCGGTTCTCCGCTCCGGTTTAAATCCTCTCCGGGCTTTTAGCGTATTGATCGCTCCCTCGGTGCTGCTGCCGCTGCTGTTGCTGCGTGCATGCGCGAGGAGCGTGCGCGCAGAGAGAGAGAGAGTGAGTGAGAGAGAGGGGGGGGGGCGTGTGCACGATCTCCACTGCAGGTAAAAATGCAAAGCGCTGAAAGGTGGAAGACCACACACACACTGTTACACAGAAACACTGAGCGCAACGTACACGTGTCTTTCTGTATGACTGAGTGTGCGTGTGTGATGCCCGCAGGTAACTGTGCAGCAGCAGCAGCAGCACCAGCTTAATGGGGCTTTTACTACACTGTGAAAGCAATGACAAGTTAATGTCTCTCTACCGCCCTCCCTCTCTCTCCTCACACACAGCGGAAAGAGGGTCTGATGATAATGTGTAAGGGGTGGTGGTGGGGGGGAGCTCCACCTTCAGAGGGAGGAGTCTGCGTGATGTGTGGGGGGTGTGGTTGGGGCAATAGGCTGACATCAGCGAGTGTGAGTATCTGTGTGTATTGTTAATGTGTGTGTGTGTGTGTGTGTGCTCTTGTGTTCGTGATATTGTGAGGACATCAGTCGGTTTGCGTACTCACGTTGTGGGGACTCGGCTCCCTCTGGGGGACAAAACCAAAACCTCATTATGTAATTCATCACATTTCAGTACTCACACTGGGTTTGAGGTTACAGGAACATGACTCTGTGTGTGTGTGTGTGTGTGTGTGTGTGTGTGTGTGTGTGTGTGTGTGTGTGTGTGTGTGTGAGCCATAGCTATAAACTGATAGTTCTGTGCAACACTGCAGGGGCCCGACTATGCCCACAGGGTTCAAATGCTTAACAGGCAGTTTATCCTCGCCATTGTCGTCCTTGCGAACAGAGGCTCGCGCCAAAAATGACATCACAACTGCTTGTCGTGCACCTCTATTAACCTGCCACATGCAGCGCAGCATCAGCCTCTGTGTGTATTTTCAGCTATATGAGCACGGGAGGACAGAGATTCAGAGGCGTTACAGAGGAAGATACAACAGCTGGAGAAAACGAAATGCACTGCTGTGAACTTTGGAAAAACTCTTTGTTTCCTTTTTCAAATTCTCCTTTTCCTTTTTTCTGCATTTAGTGGAAGGTTTCAGCTCTAGGAGTATAAATGGTTGTGGATTATGTTGATGACAGAAACAGATACAAAGAGATGTAAAACAACAAAAACGACTCACAAGTTGACACAAAGTGACGCATACTTCACAAAGTTTATTCATCGCAGCAATGTTAAGTAAGGACCTCAGTTCAAAGCTTGGCTCTTCAGGTTGCTCCTCCGCTTTTGACTGCAGAGTTCCTGATGTCCTTCAGGTCTGTAGATACGTCTTCATGCTAAAGAGAAATAAAAAAGATCCTCAAACAGAGAAACACCGGACAACACATAGTTTCAAACTCTGCCTTTAGTAAAACATACACCTTGTGTATGTTTTATCCATTCATCCATCCATCTTGTATCGCATATGAGTGTCTGGATTTATTGCTTATAATTAGAGGTGTTTTATTTTGTAATTCCTCTTCTTTTGTTCTGTTTCTTCCCAGTTTTCTTCCTCTCCTGCTCTCTATCAGTCACTTGCTCACCTGAGTGGATATGTGGTTAACTGGCTGAGTAGGTTTTACATCTGTCCATCTGTTTGTTCCTGGGTTATTTGTTTCCTGTTGTTTCTTTTTTATTTTCTAAGTACTGATTTTTGACTCAGGCCAAGGCAACATGTATTACTCCTATGTGAGTCTCTGATTGGATAATATTGTCACTGGTCATGGTCACTGTGATCCATCATCCGTGATTAAGTGCACTCGAAACGTCACATTTACTACTAGATGCAATAAACGAGGAAACTAGATTTCTGTAGTGTGTAAATGGTTAATTCTCTTCGTTGTCTGTATTTGTATGACCTTTGAAATGTCCTCAGACTCCTGCGTCTTGACTCCAACCGACACCCTGGTTTATGACAATGATCAGGCCAGAGAATGGACTCAGCAGACTCAGACCTATTCAACACGCCCTCGCTCTCAGAGAGGCTCAGCTGGGCAGCTACAACACATCTCTGGACAGCTATTTCGAGGTGTGTTCAGTTCTTCAGTTTCCCAGTCTGTCCGTTCTCCACCTGTCATGGTCCTCCAGTCTTCCCCTGCTGACTCCGTCTTTCTGTCGTTCTCTCCTCTTTAATGCTCTCTCTCTCTCTGTCTGTGTATATGAAAGCATGTTTGTGAACAGTTAAAACACCTTTGTGTTTCAGGGGCGGAGTCTCTTCTGGATTCCTGCACTTTGGTCCTGCACACCTGAAAGTGATGAACTCACCTGTTGGTAATCACCTGATTCTCTGGCTACGAAAGACCAAGTCAGTTGGTGCCTGATTGTTGAACTATCACTATCACTGCTTCCTTCAACATGTGTGTTTGTTCTGTTTCACTCCATTAACATTGCTTACATTTCTTTCTCTTCTCTGCAGAAACCTGGAGGTGGATCCGAGAGAGATTGTTGTGGAGAAAGGAAACTCTGGATTAACCTGTTGGAGCTTTGAACTTCGCTACTTGGAAACCCTTTCTGTCTCAAGTCTAGTCTCTGACTTTCTTGTAAATAAACCTATTCAACTTTTGTTCAGAGTCCTGTGTCGTGAGTCCAACACAAACCCTAGTTTATGACAGAGACACCCAGAAGACCAAAGTAAAAGAACATACACCAGCCAGCACATTGACAGTTTTGCTGTCATCTCCTTACCACTGCAAACTCATCACTTCACTACTCTACTCCCACTTATGAACATGATGCTTTTGAACTCCCACTTCAGTTTTCGAGTCATCCACAAGCTCGGAGAGAGCAATCTGGCTGAGACTCCTCATGACCTCAGACTTGCAGGAGAGTGTGCTGCTCATTCTGACCAAAATAAAAGAATAAATCTGCAGTGAGATTCCTCACCGCTGCGAGCGAGTGTAAAACTATTATATCTGCTAAACATCACATAATGTCTTTACATGTCTTTAAAAGAAGGAGACTTCAGCATTTTTAAAATAAATGAAAATGTGTAATTTAAATTAACATTGGACGCATTCAAAGTGAAAATGATCATCTCTCTCTTGTGGTGCTGTTATGTGTTCTCATACTCTAAATATGTAAATATGAATCGCATAAAGTTTTATTACTATTATGTTTTCAGTCTTATCGAGTGGGTGGATGGGACTCTACCCTGTCTGTGGTCTCTGTGGTGATTTACAGGTGGATACGCTAATAAATAGCTCTTTGTTTCTGCGGTATGAGCTCTCCTGGGAAACACACACACAGACACACACACACTGTTTGTATTTCAGTGCGGTGGTATGTTTGCAAGAACTACTGCAGTCCCAGGTCCTTGACCCTGAACCTGCGCCTGACTCTAAATTGAATCTTAAAACTGGTCTAAATCCTCAAAATTAAGACTGTAAGCAAAGTCCCCAAAAGGTTTTAAACTTGTGCTGGTCCTCACAAAGACAGGCATACAGGCGCGTGCACACACACTCTCTCTCTCTCTCTCTCTGGTCCATTAGTGTCTCTGTACTGTCATATGAGACCTAATGAGCACTTCATCATTTGTAGTGTGTGTTCCTGTACATTTATCTGTGTAAGGAGGAACTGAAGCTTCAGATCTTGACAGTGACGTCTGGAGACATTCTGCACAACAAATATCAGGATCCGAGTGAGGGAATATCCCATTTAGAAATAAAACTCCTAAATTCAAAATCTTACACGGCTTCAAAGTCAGCTTATGTTCCTTCAGCTGCTCATAGAGTCACACCTATTCAATCTGAAACTGTCGGTGCATTAATCTGCCGAAGCATGACACGCTTATATGAGAAAAACAAGTTGGCCTCTTTTTCCTCATTAATGAGCACATTAACTTAGATTTCCAAGAAAACTTTTCCTTAAAAAACAAATCTGCTGCATTTTTCTGTTAATGAGATATTTTAAAATCCTAAACGAGTCTCACTTCAGAGCTCGATTTGCCTTCCCTGCTTACTTTAATCCATGTTTTAAAAAATAGTTTGGGTCTGAAACACTGAGATACTTGCATGTTTGAGCAATAATATTGTTGGAGGGCTCAGCTAATTAGCAGCAGACGCTGTAGGCCCTCCTCCATGCTGGACTTTGGGGTCTCATTAAGTCAGAAAAACAGTGTTTTTTTGTGTGTTTATGAAAGGGTTGCTCAGAACTTCTGTTCTGTTTTATTGCTTTAGATGGACTATATCTCATTATCTCAGGAAAACAAGTCTCTATGTTTTTGGTTTTTTACCCCCTCAATAAATGCGTTATGCTCCTCTACTAATTACAGTTGTGTTTTCAAGGTTGTTTCAGCCTGGTTATTGTATAAAGCAGCACCAATCCACTGATCTATGGTCCTTACTAACTTTCAGAGCCTGTCCACAGAAAATGGACATTTTCCAGGAGAGTTTTCATTTACTGGCTTTATAAGGCAGGAATTTGTCCACAAACATCACTTTTGTTTCATCACCCATCTAAATCAATAAATCCAGGTGTTCCAATCACTTCCATGACCACTGGTGTATAATCAAGCACCCAGGCATGCAGACTGCTTCTACAAACATTTGTGAAGGAACGGGTCACCCTCAGGAGCTCAATGAATTCCAGCGTGGTCCTGAGATAGGATGCCACCTGTGCAACGAGTCACTAAATATTCCACAGTCAGCTGTTAGTGATGTTATAACAAAGTGGAGGCAGCTTTAAATGACAGTAACTCAGCTAGGAAGTGGTAGGACATGTAAAATCACAGAATGGGGTCAGCAGGTCTGAGCTCTATGACCAAGCACTTTGGCAACAGTGGGAAGGAAAAACTCCCTTTTAACAGGAAGAAACCTCCAGCAGAACCAGGCTGACGGGGGGGAGGGGCCATCTGCTGCGACCGGTTGGGCCAGTGGTTCCCAAAGTGGGGGGCACACACAGCCATTGCAGTAGGGGGCGGTATGAATAAAAGAAAAAGAAATAAAAAAGAATGCTTGGACACTGCTAGCATAATGGACAGGTTTCTTGACAGCGTTCCCAAAAAAATGCAAAGCAGAGGTTGAAACATTGCCAAATATGCTTCCAAGCCAAAGACTAGAACATATGATGAAGCATATCTTGCCTTTGGCTTCACCTGCACAACAGCTGTCGTGCCAAGGGTAGGTCTCCCTGACAGAATTATTTCCTCCTGCATCAGGAGCACACGCTGGGCTCTCCAAATCACGGACTAACAGTATCCCACATTCTTGATTTTTAGTTCACAAACACTTCTTATAAAGACTAACACTCCTGAAACTTTGGA